TATTACAATATGTTTTGTATTGAGTGAATCTCGTGGTTGCGAAAGAAGTAATGTAGTAATCAAGAACGAACTCGGCAAAGGTATTACACTCGAATTCGAATGTAACACTGTAGAACCAACCAAAAACTTGGGGAGAGAGTCTCTACCATTCAATGAGCATACTCGTTATTCATTCGTGGCTAAATGGGAACGAAGATACAGAACTATACATACTTGTGACCTATGGTTCGCGCTTCCGAAAGATGCGAAAAATCCCCGCGGAGGACTGGGTAGTTTTAAAAAGCTTGAAACATTTGCAGCAGGCACGAATTCAAAATGTGGTCAGTACCGTGAATGGGTTGCCAGACTTGATGGGATTTACTTCAGAAGAAATGAGAGAGATCCAGTAGGAATTATACCTACAGGGTGGAACTTCGTACAGTACTAAATAAGTTTTTTCTCCTTATATCTTAAAAAAAAAATATATTTATGTAAGTTGATTATTTGTATTTGTAAATAACTTCTTTTTTTTGTCAACCGTATGTGTAAATAACCAATCCCTAAGATTGTATTAATAATGTGCTACAAATATGTAGCAAAATGCAGTAAAATGTGAGGTTTCAATATTTTAAATAATAATACATTATATTTATTTCTATATTAATTTTCATGTGAAAGATGTCTACGTCTTTTCTTTTCTTTTATAATATGTAATAATTGATTTTATAGCAAGTCTTCTAGCTTCTATAATATTTATACGTTATTTTTTTTCAAAAATAGTATTTTCAAAGTTTTAATATTCTGTAGATAGTTATGGACTCAATATCAAAATCATTCTTTTTTTAAGCAATCTTCGACTATTGGAACATGTCAATATTGAATCTTGTCCGCGTTGCTATGTTTTACCAAATAAATACTTGGGGTTATGCTTTGGTAATGAATTCTATATATTCTTTGTATTATATTTTAATCATCTCTAATTAATATATTTTGCTATTTTTACCTCTGAAAATAGAATTAGAGTTTGTTTTCAATGTACTCATCTAAAATAATAATTTCTATAGAGTAAAATAAAAAATTGCTATTTTCCCTGAGAAAATAGTAATATCTATTTTAGAAAAAGAAATAAAGATGGATTAAATGGATTTATTCTCATATGTTTTGTACTGCTGAGATCTGTATCTTTGTGTTACATGCTAAACTGATTGTTGCTTTCATGTCAAAGTCTAAATAGTACTACATAGTTATATACCAGATAAATAATGTAGGTTTCTCTTCTGTTGAACTCCTCTTCATCTTATATAAAGTATCTTATATAATGTGATGTAAATGTAATATGCATCTTTAAAAATGTAATCTCATATAATATGATACTTGTATACATAAATTTCTTTTAAATGTATTATGTTTATCAGTCAAACATAAAGAATCATGCATATAAAATATTACATAGAGAATAATGAACTTAAACCATCTCACTGCCCATGAGTCGAGAAACTCATTGCTCTCCTTAACGATCCGGAAGCACACCATTCCTGACGGTGTCTCTATTTTTTGCTAATTAAGAAACTCCGAGGAGAGTGAGCTTTTCACCTGCTTTTCCAAGGAGAAGAAGACATAGACCAACACAAATTAGAATCAAACAGATGAAGAAAGTAATTAGTGGCTCTGAAACTAACTTAGTGCTCAATGTGCGATCGAATAATAAGTTTGTTTTATTAAGTTCACTACAATTAATTTGATAAAGATAATGGTCTTTATTTGGCAAAAGTTACATGTAGTTAAACTTGTTAGTTTTCAATATTGTTAAAGTAATCAGATTCCACATATTTGAGATTTTTGGTTTCTTTTATTTTGTGGTGACGTATTGTAATTTCTAACAGTTAATTTATTTACTTTTATTGTTTTTTTTATAACCACACTTTCAACATTAACCTGAGTAAAATCTATAGTGACCAATTATTTTACTTGGTTCACATTTTGTTTTCAAATTTAGCTAATACCATTAATAGACTATCTAAAAATAAAGGCAAACGTTTTCCACACAAAAAGTTATAAATACGACAGATAGATAATTTCATTACTTAAAAAATTATATAGCACCAAAAAACAAAAAAAAAATGAATAATTTGATAGTGTTTCTGTTTGTTATTGCTGTATGTTTTGGACTGAGTGACGCTTGCGCAGAAAGTCGTGTAGTATTCAAGAACGAACTCGGGAAAGGTAATCTTATGTATATCAAGTGTCAATCTTACAACCCATCCATTAATCATCCACAGATAAATTTAGAACCCGACCGTTCTCATACTTTCACTTTCGTCTCGGATAGCAAAGAAAGAACAACGTATAATTGTAATCTCTTTTACAAGCTTCCGGACGATCCAAAAAATAACCGTCCTCAAATAAGAGATTATCAAGGTCTTCGAGCATTTTCAGCCGGCATGCATTCGAATAGATGTGGTCAATACCGTGAATGGTGTGGCAGACATGATGGGATTTATTTCAGAAGAGATCCTACTAAACCTCTGGGACGTGTGCTTGATTGGTCTAGCAGAACCTAAATATGTTTCTTTTTCTAAATGTTATAACAATATTTATGTAAGCTGATTATCTGTATTTGTAAATAACAATCCCTAAAATTGTATAAATAATGTGCTACACCCAGTATGTAGCAAAAATAATAAAATGTGAGTTTTTTTTTAATGATTATGTATATTGTTATTTCCATATTTGAGATATTTTTTTCCTATTTTGAATAAGTAATATTTGTTTATTTTTAAAAATTGCGTTTGCTATACAGCTAACTAGAACTGCAACATTGAGATCATGCATTTCTTCAAAATTAAATGTTCAACCAATTGGACATGTTGTTTTGAGTTCATTGGTAGAGCATTAGCATAAGCATTATGCTCTCTATTATCCAATCAACATTTGACAAAGAAGCATTTACCAAATGCAAATACTCTCTAAATGCTCTTTGCTCAATGCTCTCATATAGAGCTTTTGGGAGAGCATTTGCATATAGAAAATATAAAACTTAACAATATTTATATATAATTAATTTATTTTTGTTTAAAAATATAAACAATATTTTTCTAACTAAATATAAATTTATATTTTAAAAAATAAAAATAAAAATTATAATTTTTTTTAAAATAACAATATTGCACATTTAATATATAATATAATTTATATAATTAGATATATCATTCATTATTTTTAATAACAAACATAACATAATATAAATTATATATTATCGATATAAACATATTATTTAGACACTAATAAAGAAATTATATATTAACTTTTATGATAATTTTATATATGAGTAATTTAGTGCTTTACCAATAAATAAATAATAATAATTTATATATAAATTTTAATTAATTTAATATAAAATATAATTAATTAATTAATTTATTAATAATTATAATTTAATAATAATTAATTCAATTATAACTATAATTTTATATATGAGTAATATGTTATATCCTAAATAATTTAATATTTTTAAAAAAACTTTAAATTTTTAAATATAATCATATAATGAAATTCCTTATTTTTAATAAAATTATATATTATTAATTTATTATATATATATATATACATTATTTTAAAAGTAATATATTATTTTACTAACTATTATGATAATTTAAAAATCGTATACTACTAATGCTCTGTCAATCACTTTATTAAAAACTTTAATGAAAGCATACAGCTTTTGTAGCATATGCTTCTGCAGCATACTGCTACTGCTTTATCATCTGCCGTACCAATCGAGGCCTTAGTATCTCATAGGTTGATATGGACATTCGAGTCTTAGGTCAGGTTTGGAAATTATGGGATATGGTTTTTTTCATATACATATGAGTTTTGAGCTTATATATATATTCAAAGAATTTTGGTATGATAACGGTCCAATTTCAGATTATTCTATTCAATTTTGTGTCGGTTTGATTTTAAGTATTTTATATCTATAAATTCACACAAATAATATATCATTTGGTTAAATTCTCTTTGTTTGTTTTTTACAAGAAATTCATCAAATTTACCTTAAATTGCATAAAATGACCAAAATCTATCAGAAATCATTGAAATTTAATTCTTTACAAACTTCATTTTTATTTTATTTTTAACTTCTAATTTAACATTTAAATTGTTATATTACTTGAAAATGTCTTAAAATAGGACTTTACAAATATAAATTCACTAAAATAAATAATAATGGAGGTATATTTTCGGGGGAAGGGGGAAATCAGTTGAAGAAGAGACCAACGATGATAATTGAAATGAATTTTGCTTTTCAAACGCAGAAGTATTAGAAAATTATTCTGAAGGATCTCGAGAAGTGATGGATCTAAAAATCCAATTCATAAATTAGAGTTAGAGTTTATTTGAAATGGTAAAAAGATAACTAATAAATCATATGTCTAGTATCGATTTTTTAGGAAAAAATTATGTTTTATTTATAATATATGTATATTGTTGTTTCATTATTTAAATACTATACATTATATTTATTTTTATACTATTTTTTCTGCGAAAGAGATATTTACTTTTAAAAAATAATAATATTTCCTCTGTTTTAATATAATGATATTCTATTTTTTTACATATATTAATAAAATATGTAATAAATCTATTAATTTTATATTATTGTTCCCATGAATTTAAACCTATAAAAATTAATAAATGCAATTGTTTTAAAAAATTACAATTAATCATTATTATTTGATAAAACATGTATTGAAAATATCAAAAAAAATCATCTTTTTAAGACATTTTTTTTCTAAGATATGTAACTTAACGAAGCAGAAGGAATATGTAACAACTGTTTTCAATATAGCTCTCCGCAAATCTTCTAACTTTTATTATATTATTTATACATGATGTATTACAAAATAGTATTTTCAAATTTTTTAATATTCTGTTCATAGTTATGAAACTGAACATCAAAATCATTCATCTTTTTTAAAAGCAATCTTCAACTATTGGAACATGTCGATATAAAATTCATATGTTTTTACACTTTCACCAAATAAACATTTGGTTTTATGATTTATGCAAAGGTCGTGGTGACCACGCGCACGTTTTCGACGCGTGGATAACAACAGAGGCGGAGGAACATAGGAACCTTTCACGGATCTCTCTCTTTATTACACAGACTCAACAGAAAAGTTGAGTTCAGATTCGAGATGGAAAGTACATAATGACCCTTTTGTCTTATATTCATTACATCCGTCTCCTCTTGGAAGACTCCTCCTCTTGATTCCTGTCCGAATCTAAAACCATGTCGACTCTACTAAACTCTGTCTTATCCACCACGGCGGCGGCGGCGAACCGATCTCCGGAACCGCCGCGAAAACCTCTACCCTTCAGCTTCCTCTCCTTCAAAAAAGGTCCCCCTAAGGCTTTAGCTATGACGTTATCTCCCAAAGACTCCTCCTCCTTTACCATCAACGAGACAACTCTCAACAACACTTTCTCTCATCTCCAAGGCTTAGTCACAAAAGGACAAAAGCCCAATGTGGCCCACTCCACTCAGCTCCTCTACGATCTCTGCAAAGCCAACCGGTTAAAGAAAGCTATCCGTGTGATTGAGCTAATGGTCACCTCAGGGATCATCCCCGATGCATCTGCTTACACTTATCTCGTTAACCAGCTTTGCAAGAGAGGCAACGTCGGTTACGCGATGCAGCTCGTTGAGAAGATGGAGGATCACGGCTTCCCTTCGAACACAGTTACTTACAACGCTCTTGTTCGTGGTCTTTGTATGCTCGGGAGCTTGAACCAGAGCCTACACTTCGTTGAGAGGCTGATGCAAAGAGGTTTAGCTCCTAACGCTTTTACTTACTCGTTTTTGCTTGAGGCTGCTTATAAAGAACGTGGCACTGATGAAGCTGTGAAGCTTCTCGATGAGATTATCGCGAAGGGAGGTGAGCCTAATTTAGTTAGCTATAATGTTTTGTTGACTGGTTTTTGTAAAGAAGGGAGAACAGATGATGCGTTGAAGCTGTTTAGAGAGTTGCCTAAGAAAGGGTTTGAGCCTAACGTTGTTAGTTATAACATTTGTTTGAGGTGTTTGTGTTGTGATGGGAGGTGGGAGGAGGCTAATGAGCTTTTAGCTGAGATGGACGGTGGAGATCGGTCTCCTTCCGTTGTTACATACAACATTTTAATCAACTCTTTAGCTTTTCACGGAAGAATCGACCAGGCGAATGAAGTTTTGAACGAGATGAGGAACGGGAACCATCAGTTTAGAGTCACCGCCACTAGCTACAACCCGTTGATCGCGCGTTTAAGTAAAGAAGGGAGAGTTGATCTCGTGGTGAAGTTCTTAGACGAGATGATGTACCATCGTTGCAGACCAAACGAAGGAACGTACAACGCGATAGGTGCGTTATGCTCGAATAACAACAAAGTGAGAGAAGCGTTTTACATTATCCAAAGCTTAAGCAACAAGCAGAGATGTTGTACTCACGATTTCTACAAGAGTGTGATCACTAGCTTGTGTAGGAAAGGTAATACCTATGCAGCGTTTCAGCTCTTGTACGAGATGACTAGGTGCGGCGGGTTTGATCCTGACTCGCATACGTACTCGGCTTTGATCAGAGGGTTGTGTAATGAAGGGATGTATGATGGAGCTATGGAGGTTTTGGAGATAATGGAGGAGAGTGAGTGGTGTAAACCAACGGTGGATAACTTCAATGTGATGATTTTAGGGTATTGTAAGATGAGGAGGACTGATTTGGCGTTGGGGGTGTTTGAGATGATGGTTGTTGAGAGGAAGAGGATGCCGAATGAGACGACGTATGTGATAATAGTTGAAGGGTTGGCTCATGAGGAGGAGTTGGAGTTGGCTAAAGAGGTTCTTGAGGAGCTTAGGTTGCGTAAGGTTGTTGGACAGAATGCAGTTGATAGGATTGTGATGCAGTTCAATTTAGATTGATGGGTTTTTGTTATACATTTTTTCTTTGTTCTTAGTGTTTTGTATCATTTTGACAAAAAGAGAGTTGGGTGATTCATGTAAAAGCAATAAGAAGCAAGAAACAAAGTCTAGAAGAACTTTATTTGATTTAAAATCTTATACAAAAGTCTGATCATTTAATGAGAAAATACCTAATGCAAATTACTTAGATCTCTGTCTCATACGCTTCTTCTTCCACTGTAACAAAAGATAACACGTTTAGTAACACTAATATTGTTCATCACAGGTACAGAGTTTTAATGTCATCTTATTACTCAATGTTATTAGTTTACAGTTCATGTTTTTGTCTCCATTTAGCTTTTCTCTCTTAGGTTTCTTTCTTTTTAATTGTTTGTAGAGCGATACTTTGTGTCTATTTTATAGGTTATCTTTTGTTTTTCTTCTCTTCTTGATGTTTTCGCTTTTTGCAGGTGAGGAGCATATTCACGGTGTCTCGAGCAATGTACAATCATGGTTTTATTTCGAGGGACACGAACATCTACTTCACGGACTGTTCTCGAGTCTAGACTTCCATTGGCCGGAGAAGAAAAGTAGACACCGTTTCTCAGCCGTGAGTGATTTCCTAAGAGGCATATAATAAAAAAAAAAAACCTTTTCAATGGTCTCTTTGCTTTGTGTGTTGAATTTTTTAACGGATTGTTTCTCGTTTTAAATTTGTTTTTGTCAAAAGCTTTTTGGTTTTGAGGGGAAATTCTATATCAATGGATTGATTAGTGAGACACTTAGGGTTGAGATTCAGAATGTGTAAAACAAATTGAATGCAGGTCTTGTCATTGATTTATCAGTGGTGTTTAGCGATCCTTATACTTCTTTTTACCTTTTTACACTTTATGGATCACTTCACTTTGTGGTTCCTAATCAATCCGGCATAAGAGTTTCCCCCTCTCGTATTTTCAATGGTTTTATTCAAATTTGTTGCTTGTTTCTTTGTTCTTGTGTGTTTTTTTCTTGTTTTCCCGTGTCTGCTTGCTTGTTTGTGTGTTTGTGTTTTGCAGGATTGCTCAAAGTGGCCTAGAAGTGGAAGCAGTGTGTGTCTGTTTATGAAGCTGTTAACGTTGTGGCCTCACACCAGCATGCTAACCTTTACAACCACAATGAATCTCTGGTTAAAATCTCCATTAACTCTTCCTCAGTCTCAACGACAAACGCTTCACTGTTCTCAAACGACAGGTTTGGTTATTAGTTATTACTATTAAAAAAGTAGCAACACTCTGAATTCTGATCAAGCTTGACCCTTTGGTTTCTGTACAGTCGAGGAAGATAGAAAGCAACTTCTTCAAAGTGCATGAGAGACTATGCAAGAAGTCTTCATAGAAATGGGATAAAGCCCAATTGTAAGTAGAGTATAGTTGTGATTGATTGTATATTGATTGACAAAAGAACAGTCAGGTCAGAATCATACTCAGTGTTGCTTCAGTTGTAAAAAAAGTGTGTGTAGGATAGTTTGTTATGAAACAACGTGGAATAGGAGTTTCAAAGTCTATTCCGATAAAACAGAAGACTGATCCAGCTTGTGTAGTGTTAAGTTCATCCCTTGTGGCAGAATAGTTGTTCATTTTTCACTATGAGTAATACTATTTCTGTTTATTTATTTGTTTTTTACAATAAAGTGAAAAAAATAATTATATATTTGTTGCAAACACTAATTCTGATAAAACCATGGTCCATCAATCAATCATGCATTGCAAAACAGAATTTCAAAATTGAAGAATATGTCGGCCCAGTATATAACTTGTGTCTTAACAGAGAGTCACGTGTCTTCTGTGCTGCTCACGTGGTTGAGCCCTATATAATTGGATCCCATAGACTTTCGTAGTTGTGTCTCTACTCTATACACTTACAGAATTATATAGACCGGGTCTCTGTGCCCCCAAACTTTTCTTTAGCTAATCACTAATCTAGTTTCTTGTAACCAACATGATCTTTGTATATTTGAATGTGTACATATCGATGATACTGATGGGTGTAACTTGAGGGTTTAATGAACACTAGATTTTGACCCGCGCTTCAAAAGCGCGGGTTTTTGTTAGATTATAAACAAATTTTGATATGATTTAGTATTTTAGAAATGATGTACATTATTAGGCTACAAATCTTAATATATAAAATAGATTTTTTTGAAAAATTATATAATTTATAAATTAGTTTATTTGAGATTTTATATGTAAGTTTTTAATGTAACTCTCTCTAGGTCTTGACATTTTATCCGGATCGAAAAACACGACCAAACCGACCCGAAAATATAGGATCCATGATAAAGTACTTACTGGCTATCTCTAAAGACCCGCAGGAATCGATTCTAGTATGGATCATAACCGAGACCCGATCGGATACATAAAAGCACTCAATATTTTTTTTTTATTATATATGTTTGGATATTTCATATATGTTTTTGGTATTATGTATATTCTTTTAAGTTTTAGTTACAGTTTTAGTTTTCGGGTTCTAAAAACTATATATATATATATATATATTTTTTTTTTTTTTTGGATATTCAAATCAAATTTTTGGGTATATTTTGTTTTTCGAGTCAAATTATGTAAAATTCAAGGTTTTCAGATATTTGAATATATTTTGAGTATTTATTTATGGTTTGAAGTATTTTTCAAATATTTTTCGGGTTTATTGGTATTTTGAGTCCTAACTATCCAAGCCTACCCGCTACATATCTGGAAATTAGAAATTACCACACTGGAAATACATAGAAATTAGATTATTCATGAAAATATTGAAATTATAAGTTACAATCTTTCACGAGTCTAGATATCTTTTTAAACAAAATTAATGTTTTAAAATAGTTTCTCTAGAATAGTAAATCATTAATTTTATAACTTGTTTGTATAAATATCCCCAAACATTAGAATACTATGATAATAAACCGGTTTTTGTATTATTACAATATACTATGTTACAGATTGGTTTACTCTAAAAATAATAATATGTTTGGTTTTAAACATATTTATCGTGAATGGAGATGTTCAATATATTTTATACTCTCTATTTATCAAACATCAGCTATGAAAATTAATCAATGGAAATGATAGAGGGTACTGTTGCAGAGTTGGTGGCTCAAGCAAATGATATATTTTTTGTTTAATGTGTGAAATCAGTCACGTATTATGAAATTATATGGTATAAGGTTATAATAATGTATTGTGGAGAAATAAAAATATTGACCGATAAGAGTAATGTATAATAAATAAGAATATTGACTAATTTATTGTTAGAGAAATATAAGGTAAGTTATATGATATANTGGTGGCTCAAGCAAATGATATATTTTTTGTTTAATGTGTGAAATCAGTCACGTATTATGAAATTATATGGTATAAGGTTATAATAATGTATTGTGGAGAAATAAAAATATTGACCGATAAGAGTAATGTATAATAAATAAGAATATTGACTAATTTATTGTTAGAGAAATATAAGGTAAGTTATATGATATAATGTTACTGTACAATATTGTTAGAGAAATATAAGGAAATATAAAAAAAAATGTTAGTATAATGAAAGGGTCCAAACAACTTTTTTAAGTAGATTTATTTAGACTTCTTCTCTTTTAATAGTATAGATTAGTCTACATAGAGGACCGAGCCTCTTACCCAGAAATCTAAGTGGTCCGTCTGTGGCAAAACCCATACATACACACAAACTTAAAACCCATTTGGGGAACTCTGCTAAAGGTTTGTCTTAAACCCCACAAATCATAGAGTTTGTAACTTAGCATACTCTACTATCATCATAGATGTAACTTTCAAGACAGTTGTATTCACTATTTTTCTTTCTCAAGCTAAAAGCCTAGCTGATAAATTGACTATAACTATATACCCCAAAATACTGCTAGCTAAAGAGGGTGAATAGAGAAAGAGAACAAAAGAGAGAAGCCTAAAGTACAGAGGATAAAGACAGGTGATAGATGCTTAGAGGGTACTGTACTTATAACAATCTCTTGCTGGTCCAATCTTTATCTCATTTTTTTTTCTAGACTTGATAGTCTTTGTAATCTTTCTACACTTTAGGTACCTTTCACGTACCATATGGTTCGAAATATCCTGACATTTTGAACATGTGATTCCAAATATCAAACCAGTTACCAATAGATACAAACCATTACTGCTTAAAGCGAACCTTCTTTAATTAAACAATAAATAAACCACATAAAAATGTGATAAAAAAGTCTCTGAAAAAAAAAAAAAACTGCATCATTTCCCAAACTCAGAAACCGACAAATGGCAGATGAAAGAGACAGCTTAAGTAAGCTTCAACGTGGGGAGAGCGTAGATACACACACTCACACACAACGAGCATCTATTTTCCTCATGACCCCACGCGCATTCAATTACTTTAGCTCAACGCGTTAACCTCACTCTCTCTTAACTCTCAAACCCCCCAAACAAACTACACAGAAGTACTAAGACAAATGTGTAGATTCTTTATCTACTACACACCAAAGACACATGAACTAACAACTAATACTAGCTACCTACTCGATCTGTGGAGTTACGTCCTCTACTAATACCACCGTGATGTGTCGACGCTCTGTGGTTAGAGCCATTCACTGTTCTATTGTGTTGAGACGAAGCTCCAGAGAAAAACTGGCTGAATATTACAGAACCACCTCTAACTGAACAAACAGGAACATTTAGAACAGGAGCCACTCTCACGTTTGCACTGTAAGATCTCTCCACTCCTCTGTTTCTATACCCTCCTCCACTCGTCCCACTGGGACTGCTCGAGCTTCTTTCAAGGCTCTGATACACAATCTTCCCCGAAGAGTTTAGTCTCGGACTGTCTACAGAGACTTCTTCTCGATCACTAGGCTTCTTCACTAACCTCATTCTCGGCCGAGCGGGAGCGAACGGGTTCGCCGTGATGTTATGATGGTTAGCGAGGTGGTTGAGTCTCTCCGCGTCGAGTGATAGCCTCGGTGTGGTGTCCTCGTGGTCGTGGCTTGAAGAGGAGGAAGATGATAAAGACATACGTGAAGAGGAGAGGGAGAGAGATTCGCTGTCTGAGAGGAGAGGAAGATTTATTAATGAACCAGCATCAGAAGACGACGTCGTTTTGGATCCCCGGTTTAAAAACTGTTTAAACGACGCCGTTTGAGAGAACCGTTTTAGTCCTAAGAGCTCTCTCCATTTTTTACTCGAACACCGTGGCGCCTTGGGAGAAGAAACCAAGCAACCATCTTCTCCGGTGACCTCCGTCTCTACTTCCACCGCCGCAGTCACCTTCGTCATGAGTTTACCATCGGAGAAAAGCTCGTCGGCGGGTAGCATTCCGACAGGAATCTCGTGTCTGAACTCGAACTCTTCCTCTGTCTTGGAAGGAATCAGCTTCTTTATCTCCGACGAGGAGGATCCAGAGCTCCGAGCGTCTTCACGGCTGAAGGAGGAAGAAGCTCGAGGGTTGAAACATCCGTAAGCGGAGACACTAACATTGTTGACGCAAGCAGAAGCCATAGATCTAAAGAAAAGAGAGAGAAGAGAGAGAGAGAAGCTTTTTATTTTGGTTTGGAGTTTGTTTTTCGAGAACAGAGTAAATATACTAGCTTGGTGGCGCGTGCATGTCACATCTCACTCTCGGTTAACGGCTAAATACGGATATTATATTGATCTTATGTTATTAACTCAACTTTATTAGTTACCTTACTAAGTTTTTTTTTGTTTTATTACAGGAAAGTGTTATCTTACATGCAATGGAAAATTTATATAATAAACGTTATCTTGTAAATTTAGGAAAAGAGTTGGAAGTTAGAATAAATAGAAGATCACGTGATAGAAGTGATATGCTTTTGGTTATCTATCAATCAGAATAATAATAAATGAGCCAAATTAGGAAAATAGAATCTGTTAGTTATCATTTTTGATAGTTAGCTTAGGTATTAACTGCTTTCTTTGTTGCCAAGTTAGGTTTTGCTCTTATCTCTTCTTGATTTAGTAGGATCTTGTCTTTCTATTATTATCTCTATAGATGTTAATTGATTCTGATAAAATTAAAGTGGTTTAGCGTTTTGAGATCTTTTTTTTTCTGATTTTAAGATACCAACTGGTATTTGCACACTCACGCCAGAGTTACAGATTGTTGCACAATATTCAAGAAATTGACAAGCGGCAGTAGATTAGTGTCTAAGCAAACTACTAGAAGCTGTCTATACTGATTTTCTTTTTTAAAATCGCTAGTTGAAAAATGATTTTCACTTTGTGAAGATTTATGATAGAGAGCGGAAGCTTATAAACCTAACGTAGAGGTGAAGTAACGGGATAAGGGCGCGAATACTCTTCGCAGTGTTCGTTAGAACTCTTGAGGGTGCGAATACTCTTCGCAGTGTTCAATAAGAACTCTTTAGAAAGCTGAAATCTTATTAGTTGAATTGATCGTGATCACAAAGGTTGATCACGTAACCTATTTATATCAAACGAATGTAGCAAAACCTAGAGTAAAAGGGAAATTTAACTCTTTCCAAATCCTAACAATAAAAGGAAAATAAATAACTTGCCATCCAAGTAAAGCCTGCAACACAAAGATGGCGTGAAGGTGGTGATACGCTGCATCAGGTTCCCCCGGGGTGAGAAAGATTCGTCCCTGAATCTGGCGTCGTATTATCACCACGAAATGGAGAAAGAAATTTGACATTGAAAACGTCTGAGGTGCGAAGATGTGACGGTAACCGAACGCGATACGCATTAGGGTTAATACACTCCACAACTTCCACCGGGCCAATTTTCTTAGACTTCAGTTTATTGTACTCCCGGGCTGGAAGCCGCTCCTTGGTTAAATAAACCCACACAAGATCGCCGGGGGAAAATAGAACCTCGCGACGTTTCTTATCTGCAGCATCCTTATATTTGGCGGAGGACAATTCAAGATTGGAACGAGCCTGAGTATGTGTCTCTTGTATGTCCGTGACAAAGTCAACAGCGTCCCCATGATGACGAATTTTATCAGGAACGGTAGAGAGATCTAGAGGACCACGCGGGACAATACCATAGACAACTTTGAAAGGTGAGAACCCTAAGCTGCGGTTAAGGGCATGGTTGTGCGCGAACTCTGCCTGTCCGAGCTTACTATCCCAAGAACGAATGTTGTCGCCAACGAGACAGCGGAGAAGATTACCCAAAGAGCGATTGGTGACCTCAGTCTGACCATCGGTTTGAGGATGATATGCAGTACTCATGTCAAGGGAAGTACCTAATAGTTTCCAGAGAGAGCGCCAGAAATGGCTAAGAAAGCGAGTATCGCGATCAGAAACTATCGACGCAGGTAAGCCATGGAGACGATAGATTTCTCGAAAAAACAGAACAGCCACATTGACAGCGTCTGTTGTTGTCTTACATGCCACAAAATGTGCCATTTTAGAAAAACGATCCACGACCACAAAGATAGAATCATGACCTTTTTGGGTCCGAGGCAAACCCAAAACAAAATCCATACTTATGTGGGTCCATGGCTGTGTCGGAATCGGGAGAGGAAGGTATAAACCTGCATTAGACGCCTTGCCTTTAGCGTGCTGACATGTTCTGCAGCGAGCCACAAAACGCTCCACATCTCGTCGAAGGGTCGGCCAAAAGTAGGAAGTCGATACTAAGTGAAGTGTGCGATCTCTTCCCACGTGCCCCTCATTATGTAGTTCCCTAATTATTTGAAGGCGCAGACTGCAATCCGGGACACACAAACGAAGGCCTTTAAACAAGAACCCGTCAAGCACCGAATATTCCTCAAGAAGACCGAGTTGTGCGTCGGCAAGAATTTTGCTAAAGAAAGCATCCGTTGGATACAATTCTGCAAACGACTCAAAACCCACAACTCGTGTGTGCATTGTAGTGAGCAAAGAATGTCTTCGACTAAGGGCATCAGCGACTCGATTAGTTGCCCCCGATTGATGGCGAATGGAGAAAGTGAATTGCTGGAGAAACGCGATCCAGCCTGCGTGCCGGGAAGACACTTTGGCTTGGCTGTCGAGATGGCGGAGAGCATCATGATCCGTGAAAAGCACGAAATCCCGATGAACGAGATAGTGACGCCAATGTTTAATAGCTTGAACAATGGCATAAAACTCAACATCGTATGTACTATAGCGACTGCGAGCACCCGCCAATTTTTCACTAAAATAGGCTACCGGACGCCCCCGTTGACTAAGTACTGCACCGATGCCCAACTTTGATGCATCACAGTGAAGTTCAAATGTAGCAGTGAAGTCGGGGAGGACAAGAATTGGAGCCGTGGTCAGTTTTTGTTTAATCAACTCGAAAGCTGCTGACGCTTCTTGTGTCCAGGAAAACCTGCCCTCTTTCATACAAGATGTGATTGGCGCCATTATAGTACTAAAGTGCTCCACGAAACGACGATAAAAAGAGGCGAGACCATGAAAACTACGAACTTCAGAGACTGTTTTCGGTAAAGGCCATGATCGGACAGCTTCGATCTTGGACATATCCACCGAAAGACCTTTGTCCGAGACAATATAGCCCAAGAAAAGAACTTGAGACACTCCAAACTCGCACTTCTGAGCTGCCGCAAAAAGTTTTTCCTTGCGCAAGACAGTGAGAACTTGGCGGAGATGTGCTTCATGGTCGGCTAAGGAGGTGCTAAAGATGAGGATGTCATCAAAATAAACGACAACAAAACGACCGATGAACTCGCGTAGAGCCTGATTCATGATCCGCATAAAAGTACTTGGAGCATTGGACAAACCAAAAGGCATGACCAACCATTCAAATAGACCTTCACGAGTCTTAAATGCTGTTTTCCATTCATCTCCAGGACGAATACGAATCTGATGATAGCCACTCTTTAGATCAATCTTTGAAAATATTTTGGCGTTGCCAATCTGATCCAGAAGATCGTCTAAACGTGGTATCGGAAACCTGTAGCGCACCGTGATTTTGTTGATAGCTCTACTATCCACACACATACGCCATGAGCCATCTTTTTTGGGAATTAATAGAGCCGGAACGGCACAAGGGCTCAGACTCTCTTGAATGTGACCTTTACGTAAAAGGTCCTCGACCTGGCGACGCAATTCTTCGTGCTCGCTTGGGCTCATACGGTAGTGTGGCCGATTGGGAAGAGTAGCACCGGGAATGAGATCAATCTGATGTTGAATATCGCGGAGTGGTGGCAATCCTGCTGGTAAATTGTCGGGAAAAACGTCAGAAAATTCTTGGAGAACAGCCGAGAGAGACGGAGAGGCTGAAGTCGTGAGGATCGAAGGTGGTGAAGCTGGAACAATGGCGAATGCGTGTCCTTCTGATTTCAATTCCGAGAGGAAAGTTGAATAAGAACAAAGCATTGTATTGGCTCGTGGTTGAGACGATGGAGGAGACGGTGAAGCTGGCGTCGCTGGTTCTCGAGACGGAAGAAGAACAATTTGGTGAGACTTCCAGGTGAAGCTATATGTATTCTTAGCTCCATCGTGAATGACTTTGCGATCATACTCCCAAGGACGGCCGAGTATAAGGTGACATATGTCCATTGGTGCGACGTCGCAATACATACGTTCCTTGTAAACTGGTCCAACTGAAAAAGAAACCAGAGCTCGTTGCGTGATGCGTACGTTCACGCCCTCGGAAAGCCAACCCAACGCATAAGGGGAGGGATGGGGTTCCTTCGGAATGCCCAGCTTGCGAACTGTGTCCTCGGAGATGACATTGCGGCAACTCCCGGAATCAATTATGAAGCTGCAGATACGGTCTTGAATAGTACAGGTCGAGCGAAAGATGCTGGTACGGAGCCACTTGTCATCTGGTAGTTGCGGAGCGAGACAAGATCGATGAAGGATTAAGAGCTGACCCTGATCACCAGCTGTATGGTGGATATTAGACTCGTCTTCGTGCTCGTTCTCGTCCTGAGAATCATAGACATCCTGTGCTTCGACGGAATCATTAAGTACAAGTCCTCGCCGCGGGGCCTGAGGACATGCGTTTATTCTGTGACCGGCTTCTCCACAACCGTAACAACGCGTCGTGGTAGGTCGAGTTGAACGGCGCAGTGGCTGCTCATCCTGTGTCACGGGTTTCGTGGCCGATGTTGAAGCTTCGGTGTTGTCTTTTGGAGTGGTAGGAGTTGCGCTTGCCGTTTGGTCTTGAGTTCGGGATCGTGCTGAAGAGGTCCAAGTGTTTGAACGAGTTTGTTGTTCAAAAGAAGCTGCACGGCGATGAGCTTCCCCAATAGTGGAAGGATCGAATTGAGCCATCGAAGTCTGTAATTGAGGACGCAAGCCACCAATAAAACGAGAGACGAGTTGAACTTGACTGTCATTAATTTCATTACGAGTCAACAACAGAGAGAATTCTTCGGCGTATTCGTCGACGGTGCGGTTGCCTTGGCGCAAGTTCTGTAGCTTTGTATACATGGTGCGTTCGTAGTTGTGAGGGAGGAATGTTTGACGCAGATGCTTTGTCAATTTCTCCCAAGAGTTAATAGGTTCTTTGCCCGTGCGAGAACGTGTGGTTTTGAGTTGTTTCCACCAGGTAGCCGCATGACCACGGAAACGAGTAACAACGAGAGGAACACGACGAGTTGGTGGGACTTGTTTAAATTCCAGAATTTCTTCGACGGAGATTAACCAATCGATGAGGTCATCACCTTTAAGGCCTCCATGAAACTCAGGTATGTCGACCTTAAAACTTTGTTCCCATCGATTATTATAGAAATCACGATGACGGAGATCTTCCAAATAAACGCGTCTATGATCGT